GGCCACAGAGGGAGGGGCCACAGAGGGAGGGGCCACAGAGGCGAGGGGCCGCAGAGGGGAGGGCCATGCTCTGAGTGAGACAGAGTTGAACGGGAGACACACGACCTTTGACAAATAAAAAGCCCCAATGCAAGTATTTTAAAGACTAAACGTCACACTACCAGGCTACCTGAGTGTTGAACAGCTTTTAAGGAGTCAAATAAAACATATTAAACTGTCCTCTGCAGAATGAAAAGCTTACAGCACCTGGTATTCCCAGGCGGTCTCCCATCCAAGTACTAACCAGGCCCGACCCTGCTTAGCTTCCGAGATCAGACGAGATCGGGCGTGTTCAGGGTGGTATGGCCGTAAGCGAAGGTCACACTGCAGGGTATTGTATTTATATCTACTTTATACCAATTATTTACCTCGTTGGACATTTGTACACCGGGCTGAGATCAGGGATGGGACTCGTGTGCTTTTTGAGGACAAACAGATAAGGATTTCTTGTCAACATTTATGATTAAACCGCAAGCTTTCAACAGTCTCATAAAGCTTGAACAAATCATTCAGAATGATTCAGGATTAGAAATTACTTCATTAAGACAATTAAGACAGACTGGAGAGGAACAGGAGAGAGAAACGACATTTGGCACGTACATATTTTAAAGAATTGTGTGTCACAACCAGGCTACTTGAGTGTTTGAGGCTTTTAACAAGTAAAAGGTAAAACAGTTTTTCTATCTGTAAGTCTTTGAATGAAGCTTGATTTGACTCCACACATGCACATTAAGGTGTAAGATTCTGGAGATGGAATGTCACTCGCATGATTTCATGGAAATGGGAAGTTAAAACAATACTTGAGAACATTCTCCATGGATATACACGTTTTATGGCATCATGTGGAATATTATAACAAAGGAAGACCAACACCAGAACTAAACCGAGAGAGGACAAAGTGTTTTCTCAAATATTCATTACGGTTTAAGTTCTGATCTGAATAAAGATCTGTGACCGTATATAACTGTAAAGTAGATATAAATACAATACCCTGCAGTGTGTCTGTCGCTTACGGCCATACCACCCTGAACACGCCCGATCTCGTCTGATCTCGGAAGCTAAGCAGGGTCGGGCCTGGTTAGTACTTGGATGGGAGACCGCCTGGGAATACCAGGTGCTGTAAGCTTTTTGTCTTTTGCAGAGGGCTGAGTAATACTTTTGATTTTACTCTTTAAAAGCTGCTCATGACACAATTGTTAAAAAGATGCATTTGCCAAAGTGTTTTTTCTCTCGTGTTCCTCTCCAGTATGTTTGACTTAGAGCATGGTCTCTCCTCCTCCTCCTCCCCTCGCCTCACGTGGCCCCTCCCCCTCCTCCTCTTCTGACGACTACAAACCTCTTCAGCACTTCACCACTGGGGGAGGTGTTGGTAAGGCTTCAAAAGCACGCAGCCTACGCTTTACTCCAGTGAAGTGAGAAAAGACCAGTTGATCATATGATTTAGAATTAGATCAGAAAAAATATAAAGCCAGTGGATTTTTATACAAAGACAGCAAAGCCCCCTCTGCAAAGGAGAAAAGCTTACAGCACCTGGTATTCCCAGGCGGTCTCCCATCCAAGTACTAACCAGGCCCGACCCTGCTTAGCTTCCGAGATCAGACGAGATCGGGCGTGTTCAGGGTGGTATGGCCGTAAGCGACAGACACACTGCAGGGTATTGTATTTATATCTACTTTATATCAGTTTTATACCAGTTCGAACAGTGTTTCTCAAACTTTTTTTCTGGGGATCCATATTTTAAAAGTAACAAACCTTCGTGAGCCAAGTCAATAGAAGTTACTCATAAATCCCCAAATAAAGGTGGATTTGAGCATTATTGAACATCGATGAGGATATTTTATTGTTGACTGAGTGATCGTGTTTCTCTGAACAATTAGTATTCCTCAAGTTTGAAACAATGAAAAACAGTAATTGAACCAGCAATCAGAGGGATCTGTAAGTATCCTGAAGTGCACTGACCTTTGCTGATTTATCACCCTTCTTTTTGGACAACCAAACAAGCATTTCTCAACTTTAGCTGCAGGCACACTCGCTCAGGGCAGGCAGAGAGGATTCACTGACTCACTAGCTCTCTCTTGTGACTGTATATTGCAGACCCACATGCAGATAGTGACAAGGCGACCCAAAAATAATCTCTTGTGACCCACCTTTTGGGAAACAGCGAGTTACAACCTCATGTGTCCCTCTTTGGGCTCTCATACACTGGGCTGAGATCAGGACTGGAACTTGTGTCTGTGCTATTTGAGGAGAAACAGATACACTTTTCTGTAAACTTTAAATTTAGAGGAGTGAATTTGCAGTTTAGTTCTAACTTTGCAATTTCTTAGTACAGCACAGTTTAGCACTAAGACTTATTATTTTATTCATATTAATGTAATGCTATGTTTTATTGATGCTCGTGGGTAAATTCGTCCTGTGCCTTTTATCTGAGGACTTCTGAAGGATTTTGCTTATTGTGCTTGTTTGAAGTTTAATGATTGGGTTTATTCGTAGACTTGAATATAGATATAAACAGAGTATCCATCAGTGTGTCTGTCGCTTACGGCCATACCACCCTGAACACGCCCGATCTCGTCTGATCTCGGAAGCTAAGCAGGGTCGGGCCTGGTTAGTACTTGGATGGGAGACCGCCTGGGAATACCAGGTGCTGTAAGCTTTTTATCTCTCTTTTGCAGAAGAGGTTCTCCTGTTTTGTCCTTTTTGTATTATTAAATGGCTCTGTCATTTTCCTTTTTTTTGTACAAAATATAAATTGGTAAATGTTTTGGGAATTATAACTCATATGACATACTGCTCTTTCCCAGTGTTTTTCAGCTTTCTTAACTTGTTCAGCTGGAGTCAAGTGTGGGCTGCTGCTGCTTCTTAAGCCTTTTTCCAACACATCTTCTAGAGCAGCTCTAAATGCCTGTTATAAAAGTGTCAAACTCAGTGAAGTGGTGAAGTGTGGGTTAGTAGCGGTCAGAAGCAGAAGTGGGAGGGGCCACAGAGGCGAGGGGCCGCAGAGGCAAGGGGCCGCAGAGGCGAGGGCCATGCTCTGAGTGAGACAGAGTTGAACGGGAGACACGACCTTTGACAAATAAAAAGCCCCAATGCAAGTATTTTAAAGACTAAACGTCACACTACCAGGCTACCTGAGTGTTGAAACAGCTTTTAAGGAGTCAAATAAAACATATTAAACTGTCCTCTGCAGAATGAAAAGCTTACAGCACCTGGTATTCCCAGGCGGTCTCCCATCCAAGTACTAAACCAGGCCCGACCCTGCTTAGCTTCCGAGATCAGACGAGATCGGGCGTGTTCAGGGTGGTAATGGCCGTAAGCGAAGGTCACACTGCAGGGTATTGTATTTTATATCTACTTTATACCAATTATTTACCTCGTTGGACATTTGTACACCGGGCTGAGATCAGGGATGGGACTCGTGTGCTTTTTGAGGACAAACAGATAAGGATTTCTTGTCAACATTTATGATTAACCGCAAGCTTTCAAACAGTCTCATAAAGCTTGAACAAATCATTCAGAATGATTCAGGATTAGAAATTACTTCATTAAGACAATTAAGACAGACTGGAGAGGAAACAGGAGAGAGAAACGACATTTGGCACGTACATATTTTAAAGAATTGTGTGTCACAACCAGGCTACTTGAGTGTTTGAGGCTTTTAACAAGTAAAAGGTAAAACAGTTTTTCTATCTGTAAGTCTTTGAATGAAGCTTGATTTGACTCCACACATGCACATTAAGGTGTAAGATTCTGGAGATGGAATGTCACTCTCATGATTTCATGGAAATGGGAAGTTTAAAACAATACTTGAGAACATTCTCCATGATATACACGTTTTATGGCATCATGTGGAATATTATAAACAAAGGAAGACCAACACCAGAACTAAACCGAGAGGACAAAGTGTTTCTCCAAATATTCATTACGGTTTAAAGTTCTGATCTGAATAAAGATCTGTGACCGTATATAAACTGTAAAGTAATATAAATACAATACCCTGCAGTGTGTCTGTCGCTTACGGCCATACCACCCTGAACACGCCCGACTCTCGTCTGATCTGGAAGCTAAGCAGGTCGGGCCTGGTTAGTATTGGATGGGATAGCTGGAATACCAGGTGCTGTAAGCTTTTT